TGTTGTGTTCACTTGTTATCTTTTACTAATATTTAAATTTGTTTGATGATCTGAAACATTAAAGTGTGACAAACATGCAAAAAAATAAGAAATCAGGAAGGGGGCCAACACTTTTTCACACCACTGTATATAGCCTTGGTGAACAAATGACTTGTTTCAAAAACAAGAAAAACATCTTACTGACCCCTGACTTTTGAGCAGTAGTGTAAATGTGTATGTATGCATATATGTAAGTATATTTGTTTGTTTCTTGGAATCTCTTCTAGGCTTATTCATGTTTGATGATTAATATACATGAGAAGTGAGATTTTGGTCCAATCAACTTCAGTGTGGGCGGGGCTACTTGCTGCAGTGCTGCAAAAATGACCAAAACGACTGACAAATTGTCACAGCTAGTTAGCCAAAAGATTCAGATTAACACCAAAAACAGCTTTCATTGCTTTGTCTTGCCTGGTCATATTGTAATTTCATACCCAGTATTAGGGAGTTGCCGGAGGTGCGTCCCTTATGCAGATATAGCTATGGTAATTGGAGTAGAAAATGTTACTTCTGGCCATTGCTGCACTGAGATGTTCCTACTTACCATAATCATGCCTTGTCTGTAGACTGGGAATGGAGCATGATGGGCAGGGCAACCGCTGCGTTGACGAAACAGCCATGGGAAGTGTCATGGCCCCTCTGGTGCAAGCAGCCTTCCACCGCTACCACTGGTCGATGTGCAGTGGGCAAGAGCTGAAGAGATACATTCAGTGAGTTCACACTTCTCTCTTCTCATACCTCTCTGTTTTATCCAGAAAACTAGAAGGCCTTGAACTCGTGCATATTTTAAATGAAAACGTGTCTTTTCACAAGTATGCATATGATATTGTGTTTATATTTTGATATAAATATAATATAATATAATTGATATGATATTATATTTATTTATTTCTCATGGGTTACTTGAGCATAAATATTGGCCCTTGTTTTGTTTGGAGCTCTGCTTTGTTTAGTGCCACCTTAAGTTCAGTTGACTGTTTGTTTACCTGAATTAATTTAACTGCTCAGTAGATTGTCATGATATCCTAGAGTTTACAGACAACATGACAGACAACATGACCAACAGGGATTAACTCCATCACTTAGCCATGATGATGATGATGGCATTTGCTCCATTGCTCTAGTGGCATATTAACCAATCACCTCTTGCAATGGTTTTGTTTTTGTAAGAAGCACTTTACAAATGTGTTTGAGCTCTTTTTAATGGCTGTTTTGAATCTGAACCTCCTTTGAAGTCATTGCCAGACGATTTAAAAATAATATTGATTTGAAAATGCAATTTCTGTCATCATTTACTCACCCTCATGTCGTTCCAAACTTGTATGACTTACTTTCTTCTGTGGAACACACACACACACACCACACACACACACACACACACACACACACAAAAACTATAGTTGATAAATTACTCTGTGGATTTGTTTTCTATATAATAAAAGTAAATTGTGTCCAGTGCTGTTTTGGACCCCACTGACTATCATTATATGCAGGGGTGCACAGAAGTTTTTCAGTCTGGTTCTCATGAGAGCACCTGGAGATTTGGTTTGGTGCTCACACTGCACAGTGTGACTCATTAAATATAAAAAAAACTATAAAAAATTAAATAATTAATAGTGATAATAGTATTATTGTACTTTATTTATTTTGTATTTTTAAATAAAATAATAAACAAAATAATAAACTGAGTGTGATAATACTATTATATTTTAAAATAAAAAATGAGTATTAAATAAAAATACAATTATTTAATAGTACACTTAAAAATACAATGCTAATATTTACATTTTAATTTTTATCTTTTTTTTTTGTTTTACTTTTTTTAATATGAATTTTCATTATTTTTAAACCTAAAATCAGCAAGCTTTTATTTTGCCGGGTTTCCAGTAAGTAAATACTATATAATGCGCTGCTGGGTTTTAGCACTGCCGGGTGAAGAGCGTAAGTGAAGCCTAGATTTATGCTTTTAGTTTGAATAGAAATCTTATCCATTATTACTGTTAGTTGATCTAAAATGTTGATTGTACATTAACAGCTGTCAACCATTTTGGTACGTAAATGAGCGGTCTAAACTTATTTATCCAGTGCATTTTTTTTATTTTGGTCGCACATGTGCACCACTTATGTGCACTCCTGATAATATGGACAAAACTTATGAATCAGAATTTTAATTTTCAGGTCAACTATCCCTTTAAGAAAAGACCATGGCAAGTATAAATATATGAATTATCAAAGAAAAAACCTGTAATTAATGAGATGGCGTTATCAGTCAGCAGACTAAGACCCCTATTCACGTTATATTCTAGTCTAAAATAGTGTTTTTCAATCCTGGTCCTGGGGACCCACTACTCTGCACATTTTGTATGTCTCCCTTATCTGACACACTCAGCCGAGTTCATGCAGCTCTCACCTAATGAGCTGGTGATCTGAATCGGGTGTGTTAAATAAGGGAGAAATGCAAAATATGCAGAGCGGTGGGTCCCCAGGACCAAGATTGAAAACCATTGGTCTAAAGGTTACGGGTTTCTCTAATAAACCTCTCAATTTAACCCTCGTTGATTCACTCAATCAGTTCAGAAGATATCTAGTGCCACTTAAGGATTTTCACATTTATATACTGTTCCATGTTCAGGGTTAATCCCGCCATGGCCAAGGGCTGATGGAATGTAAATTATCCATGAATCTTGGCAATTTACTGCAGCCAATACAAATGAGTGAGTAGCTCTCTAGGACAGGAAAAACCTTTTCAGCATTGTCTATTGAGTTTGAAGTGGTCACTATTCTCGGTAGCCTTTGAGCAGTGTCAAATTAATGATTTTTCCATTCACACCAAGCAAATCGATTCATTTTCAGAAGCTAAATGGCATGTGCATCTGCATTTACCAGTACATTCTATTTGTGTTCTTGTTTTTTACTCAGAACTCAACTCTTGCATCACCTTTAACCTGAACAGTGCTCATAAAGAAATGCTGCTGATGAGACCGATTTATTTCTGATAATAAAAGGGTTGACTTTCACTGGAAATCCTTGAGCAGCTCATTACTGGCCTCAGCTTAAATTAGCCAGTGGCAGAAGGAAACTTTTGAAGTTTAAAATCTCTTTGTGGTTTGAAAGTTTGAAAGCACTTTCTCTGCATGTTCTGGCTTTACTCAGCACTTCAGGATTTTGAAGATTTAATGTAAATTATCTATTGCATGGATATTAGGAAGTATGATTGATTCAGTTCTTTGTGGGTTCAGTATTGGCTCCGTTTAATGATATGAATCATCTAGAAAGTATGAGTCTCATTTTCATTACACCATACTGTCCACTTTAGGCTTACCATTTGCTACTGAACTTTAGAAGTGGCTTCCAAAGTTTATAGGGCCAATCATTAAACATTAAATTAAACATTAAATTAAACATTTATTGGGTTACTTAAACCGCTCTAGTAACTTTGTTTGTTTTTCACAGTTCATATGACTGCCTGCTGGACGATCCCTTCAAACATGAATGGCCGCAGCTCCCTGAACTTCCCGGCATCAATTACTCCATGGATGAGCAGTGTCGCTTTGATTTTGGAGTTGGATACAAAATCTGTACTTCAGTGAGTATGGCTATATTGTCCCTTGGCAGATCTGAAAAATGTCAGTCATTAAAGCAAGCACCAAAAATCCAGTCTTTTTATTATTTTTGTGTTTTAACAAATGCCTCGTTGAGGTCTCTGTCCAAGGTTTTTTAGTTGGAAGTGCTTCAAATATTTTTAAAATATTTATATGCCAAATTTCATTTATGAATGAAAACATTTAAAGAAATGCATGTGTCTGTTATAATATTTCAGTATTAGTTTCTGGCCTTTGAATTACTGAATCACAGCTGAATATGTTCTTTTATGTGCTGTTAACCCCCCAAACCCTCAGCTCTAAACTCTTTCAAGTGGGAAATGAATAGGTGCTGCAAAGTCCCAATCACATGTATAGAGTCAGAGAAAAGAGCCTCACACCTGCTTTATGGCATGACACTGAGAACCAGCAGATGGCAAGATGTTTGGCGTTCTGTCATCAAAGGCTGTAACACTAGTAAACAAGAACAGCATGCTGTGATCCTTCCTCTCAGCCCCTCTGTCATGCCTAAACAATCTGTGTCAAGCTGTGCACCACAGCCCAGCAAAAACTCATATCCCCATGAAATGTTCTATGACCCACTAATCATGCTTTAAACAGTTGTTTCACTGAAGACATGAAAAAAGTGGTTGTCAGTGTCGATAGAAACAATTAGTTTGTAATGGGCTTGTAAAGAACTATTTGTTGCCTCTCCCTTCTGCAGAGTGACATTTTAATTAGCTCTCTGAGGAGGTTGTGGTACAAAAAAGGTAATTTTTAGTCTTTTATTCCATGACTGTGTAGCTATTAGTGTTAATTTCATTAACGCAAAGTATGATGAAAAATGTTCGTTGACAAGCTTTTTTCCTATGACTAAGATGAGATGATGACGAGATGACAGTAAGGTCAAAAAACGATAACTGTGACTTTATCAGCATGCAATATGACGATATTGGTGAGACTAAAATGTATTTTAAAAAATAAAAACTTTACCAAAAATTTTTCAGTTTTCGTTGAAATAACTTATACAAAATATTATTACAGACTGCTGTACACACCTCTACTAAACGAGCTTTCATGTGTGCAGTTGCAAGAGTTCAAATCCGCAAATCAGAGCTTCTCTGTTAAAGGTGGGGTAAGTGATTTCTGGTAGCCAATGTTGATATTTCAAATCACCAAAACAAACATGCCCCTACCCCAAAAGGGTCTCGCCCCTATTTTGATAGCTCCGCCCCACACATACGTACGCAACCCAGGCAACGATTAGTTCTGTGAAACCAATGTTACACTGTGTCTACAGTACACCGGACGCAATCGGCGCGGCGCGGCGTGACAAAATACCATAGAACTCATTATAATCAGTGATACTGTCTACACTGGATGTGGCGTGGCACGACAAATCCCCGACAGAAAACTGCTGCTGCGTTCTATTTATGACGTATTGACACAAATTTCAAATGATTTTCAACGGTCGCTTTGTCGCGTTCAGTGTAGACAGACTTTAGCTGTTGCAGTGCGGCACGACAACTGTCATGTCCGGTTTAGTAGACACGGTGTTACTCACCTATCGAGAAGAAACAAAGCAACTTCGGTGTCCGATCGCAGGCCTTCCGCTCCTTGAGTTCTCTCCAGCGCTGGAAAGCTTATCCGATATTTACACGGGTCCTACTTCTTGCCTTATCGTAAGCCTTCTTTTGTTCCGGCCTTCTTTTCCTCTTTTGTTTTTTATCCGCCATCTATATCTTTCTGTCGCTCGGCTAATGTCCATCCTGTGCACTGAGCGCTCTCTCCTCCGTTTTTTCTCCGTATGAAAAAATACATACACCACCTTTAAAAGGATACATTTTCTGCCCAGTGTTTTGCTTTATATTTTGCTATCTGGCAACCATGCGTATGCGCTCGTTCTTCATTGCGGAAGTGCCGATGATGATCTGAAAACACTGCTGAAGTTTAGCGTTCTCCATGTGAGATGTTCAGCTTAAATGAAAGTATCATTCAGCCAGTCTGTGTTCTGTCATGAGATCTCGGCTATTTTGTTTGCGATTGTGGTTGCTAAATAAATGCACTTACTCAACCGCTGTCGTTTTAATAGAGAAACATTATTGCAATTTGGAAATATTGGAATTACTATTAGGAATTTTACTGTTAAAATATTGAAAAAATGTAAAATGAAATGTAAAAATACATTTCTCAAATTTCTCAAAAAAAAAAAAATCTGTTTAACTATTATAAAGCATGACAAAAATGTGACAGTTTTCATTGACTAAAACTAGACTAAAATGCTCAGACATTTAGTAAAGTAGAGTAAATCTTAACTAAACAAAAACAGGACAAGGTTGACTTAATATGATAATAACTAAAAAAGGTACATTTGACACCAGGACTAAGACTAATTTAAAAGACTAAGAATAAATAAAAAAATGGCTGACAAAATGAACACTAGTAGTTATAAGCATATCTGTAACGAACAAGGAGCTACATTTGGCACATGCATGAAATTCTGTCAGTTTCTTCACCTTCATGTTGTTACAAACCTGTTTGACTTACTTTTAGTAGAGCACTAAACAAACAACTGAACATCACATTCAGATTTTTTTTCTGGTTGTGTTTTTATGTGTATTTACAATGAATGCTGACTGAGGTCTTGAAGCTTGGGCGGATGTAAAGGATGTAAAATCTCTATCATGAAAAGCTATAAAATCATAAAAGCTATGTTTCTGTTCATTTAAAATCATACAGTAGCCACAAAAGAAAGAAAGAAGTGTTTGGATCAACATGAAGATGAAAAATTACTAATTTATTTTTTTGTTAATTTGTATGTATTAAAGTTGTATTGAAGTAATCGAAACTAGCTGCACTTATTGGTCCTCTCCCAGAGTGCAGTGCATAAAAGATAGAAAGCCCTGAGCCAGTGACAGAGCTAAGACAACTGATATCCTTTAGTCCAGCTGCTTGCCAAGGGACTTGTTAGGGGCTTTAAATAAAAGTTCATTTTACAGAAACAGTCTTTCCTATTTATGCCTACAACATAGTGCCATCTCTCCTTTGGGCACATCTATCCATTTATTAACCGTATGTCTGAGCCTTCCTACTCCACACGGCATTGTAAATATGCAACACTATTTTGGTGAAGCACAGAGTTCAAAGATGAACCTAGTATTTCAGCTGTCAGCTATTAGTTTCCTCTCCCAGTCTTGTATTCCAGACTGCCATTTTAATAATTTGTTTACATTTCTGTGTATTTTTCTTTTTCAAGAAATAATATCCTGCAAAATACTGTTTCGATCCTTCATATTGTAATGTGTGTGCTACAAACTCCTGCTGTGTTTAATGAAAAAGAGTAGTAAACAGAAGTCCAGCTGTGTATCAGCCTCCAATGGACAATGTTGTAATTTCTGAAAATATCTTCACTTTAGCTGCATTCCGAATCACATTTATTTGTCATAATCAAACCCCCTAAATTTAGTGATGAATTACTGTTTTACAGTTGCCCTTACATTTAATGCGAAATGTAATTTGGTTAATCGTGACCGATGGTCATAAAAATCGCATTGTAATGTTCTCTTCTCATGTGCTTTATACCAACAAACAACTGTATAGAAACCACAGCTGAGGTGAATTAAGCCAAATAAACCATCAGAACCTCATATCCTTTTTAATGGATGTATTGTGGCCAAAATACTTATACAGTCTACACTGGACGTGAGCGGCACAATGCGACAATTAGTGATACTGTCTTTTGACAAAATCACAAATGGATTTGCAAAGTTTGCTTTGACGTGTGTAGACCACCTCAAGCTGTTGCGTCACAATGCTGGTGTAGACACAGTGTCAGGTGGCGCGCAGTGACTTATGGGTAACTTTCATTCTGAAATATCAATGAATATTTGTTCCTTCAGACTGAACATATACACTCTTTTTTTGTTTTGGAATCTCACTTGACTCAGATGACACAATCAGGCATTAGGAACATACTCAATGTGTCAATTGCAATAAACAGAAACATTTATGAAAAAAGGGGCATTTTCTCTCTTTTCCATTCTCTGATTAATTTCCTGGGTGTCTAGCAGTAGCAGAAGCTCCAGAGTGCCACTGGCAGCCAAAAAAATCTATTCAGTTTTTTTATTTTATTATTATTTTTTTTATGTTGAATCTCAGCTCAAGCACGTTCCTAAGAGGAAAAGGATTGTCGGGGCTTATCTCTGGTGGAATTGTAGTTCGGGCAAGAAAGTTCAAAATTCTTTTTTATATTTGTCTTGCCATTTAATTATTTCTAACTCTCTCTCTTAAAATGCCAAGCATCCAACCATGGGCACTTTTCTCTCTCTTCAGTTTCGTACATTTGATCCATGCAAGCAGCTGTGGTGCAGTCATCCAGATAATCCTTACTTCTGCAAGACCAAAAAAGGGCCTCCATTGGACGGGACTGAATGTGCACCTGGAAAGGTAATTTCACGTGTCCACATTTTGCCAGACCGGTTTTGTCCTGTTGTGCCCAATTTGATTCTGTCTCACTCCTTCCCCTCGTAGTGGTGCTACAAAGGTCACTGCATGTGGAAGAATGCCAACCAAGTGAAGCAAGATGGAGCCTGGAGTGCCTGGAGCAAGTATGGCTCCTGTTCTCGCTCCTGCGGGACGGGCGTCCGCTTCAGAACCCGCCAGTGCAACAACCCTGTGTATGTTATCTACTGTACTCACAGTCAGGATTGCTCATGAAGATCACTGGCACCCTAGTATACTTTCCATAATCAGATTTGGTCATCATATGAATGGTTGCAGTTTCGTTGAAATGAAAAAACTGTCTAGAAATAAAGCATACAGGCCAGCAGGGTTGAACATGATTGACTCTAGCCAATAAGACGAAAGGTCAATCACAATTTGTGCTTTATATCAGTATTATTCCAATAACTATAATATTTAAAACCATATAAACTCTGCATTGGGCCTGCTCATTTTTCTCGTAATGATAGAGATTTCATAAAAGCATGAAATCATCTGATTACCTGTTTACATTCATAGATGTCTTTTATTGAGAAACATCTGCACAGGGTGTTTTTAATCGGAGGAGCTACCATCTTTGCCATCCTAAGTGTAATTTTCTTTTCAAGGAGGACAGTATTTTTTTTTTTTTGTGCTGAGCAAATGAGTGGTTGCTTCTTAATTAGCATGCGTGCTTTGAAAATGAAGGAAGCAAGAGAGCTAGGAATTTAGCTCTTTTTTTATGCCAGCGCATTAGTGTGCTAGTTGTGAGGAGTGTTTGTTAAGGACCTGTGAAACGGCATTTGAGTTGTGCAGATGCTCGCACTTATAGAGAATATGCATGATTGAAAATTCAAAGTTGGGCTCAATGATGAAAGCTGCAGTGCTTTAAACTTTTATAAAAATGTGATACATATTTTGCATTGTTTGCCATTCCATCCAAACATTGATTAGATAGTCTGAATCCAGATCTAAATATTTTATTGGGTGAAAGAAGGAATAGATGTGTTTCTAATATCTGTTTATGCCAGACTTGTTCATTGAAGTGATTCATTTGAACTTTATTTTGATTAACCTTGATTATTGACTGCTTTTTAAACCACAGACTTGAATGTTTAAAGTAATTTGTGGATGTTTGTTTGAACATTATCTGTTATCTGTTAGTCCATCTAATGGAGGTCAGGACTGTCCAGGGGTGAACTATGAGTACCAGCTGTGTAACATAGATGATTGCCCCAAACACTTTGAGGACTTCAGAGCTCAGCAATGTCAACTTCGCAACTCCCACTTTGAATACCAGAATGCCAAACACCATTGGCTTCCCTACGAACACTCAGATGGTGAGTTTGTCAGATTTTAAGGCAGTGTAATTTGAGGAAATATGTTTATATTGTAACAGATAGTTCCTAGGTTGTTGTGTTTGATTGGAGAATTGGCCCACTTTTTCAGCAGCCTTGTTCTGGTAGTATTTTTTTCCAGAACAAGGCTTTTTTTTCCCATAAAATTTTAAAAAGTCTTAAAAGAGTTTTAATACATTGACCAAACCTACCAGCTATGAAGTGAATCACAACATTACAAACTTTGATTTGAGGCATTTAAATCGGTACTGAAGTGCATTAAGTATTTGAAAATCAGACAAAAAGAAAACATCTATGTACTCAAGGGCTACAATCCCTGCAATCCCATGACATAATCGAATTAAGAAAGATGAAGAAATATTAAATGGTTGATTTCAACAAGTTGATTTTACTATATATAGAAAAAAAACACTACCGCTCTTTGTTGAGAGACTTGATGGTTAATAGTGTATAGATATTGTATTGATTCTTATAATGAAGTATATTATTTTTGCTGAAACACATTGTTTGGAAACCATACTGGTACATGGCTCTTGCCTGTCTTTTTTGTTTCACATCCTGTTTTGAATTTTTGCATTGCTCCATGTTTCTCACATGTTAATTAAACAGTATATGCCGTCATTTCGCCAAGCACTAATTTTAATGCCGACACAGTAAGACAACAACAGATTCTCTCTGCGTCTAGTATACATTTACTATACTGGCACTCCATGTTTTGGAGGAGCAGGGACTGTGTAGTATAATCAGCAGAGACCAGCATAGCTGCTCGTACACACACAGCTTGTAAATGCATCCTCTCTCCTGAGAGAACCACAGCACATCCATTCAAATTGTGGTCAACATTTGTGTTCAGCTCAAGAAGTGAAGGCCTTTAGAGTGCCCTCACATGCAGAGTGACAAAGTGTAATTGTAAAGCCTTTTCTCAAACTTTGCACTTACTGCAGTCACTTCATGTGATGTTTTCTGCCCTTTGCTTTTTGTTTTTGGGCTATTTATACATGCTTCTATTACAGTTTTGAGTATGATGAGAAATGCACTTTTGAGTTACACATAAAAGGAAAATCCCACATTGCTCAACAATAAAGCCAGTGAGAAACATCACTGAAAGCCACCTCCAGATGTAGTAGTAGTAGATTTTTTAATGCACTGAGCACTTTTTGCACTTTGTAATAATAAAGAAAATTGCTGTTATCTCGGCATGTAATCCTTTTTTGGATACACAGCAAATTAATTTCAAGTATTTAGTTTTAACACTTTCTATAAACACATTGTTTTTCATTATACATTCATTATATTATCACTGTACACATCTTAATAACACTTAACAGATCACTAGTTCATGAACATTCAAATGTAATTGAAGTATGTGAATCAATTTTATTGTAAAGGGATCATATGATGCGATTTCAAGTTTTCCTTTCTCTTTGGAGTGTTACAAGCTCTTGGTGCATAAAGAAGATCTGTAAAGTTGCAAAGACTAAAGTCTCAAATCCAAAGAGATATTCTTTATAAAAGTTAAGAGTCAGCCACGCCCCCCTAAAACGACTCGTTCTAACACGCCCCCACATATCTACCTCACTATGTGGAAATATTAGCATAATGCCGCCCAAATGTGCACGCAAAGAAAGAAGGTGTGGTTTATTTTAAAGTGTAAAAACTAAATTTTAAATTTTTTTTTTTTTTTATTGTGGTCTGTATGCTGGCTTTTACAAGTCCTACTAAGGTGAGGTAGGATTATGTGTGCATTATTCAGCTGTAGAATTAATCCACAGAATTCAACAATTGTGAAGGCATGCTTCATAATTATTTATAAAAGGCACAATATGTAATTTTCGCCACTAGAGGGCACGTATTCAAATAAAAAAATCTAACATATTGTGCCTTTAAGTTACTTGACCAAACACTTCCACAAGGTCTCCTAGTGTTGTCTACATTAGCACGTTAATATTCACACACCATACGTTCATTTCATTGCATTCCATTACTATGTGCTGAAAGGTCTGTCATCATTTACTCACCCTCATGTCATTTCAAACTTGTATTACTTTTTTTGGATAAACATAAGGGTGTGTAAATGATGACAGAATTTAGATTTTTGCATAAACACTCCTTTTAAACATTTGTGCTATTTTTCTCTTATAATATAAAATAGCAACTAGTTGCAATGTGAAACCTAATTAGCATATGCTAAACATTTTAGGGAGTTATTCTAATGGTATTATATACTATTTTAAGTTATTATTATAAGTTCAAGAGTTTAATCGGGCAGCAGATGTCAGAACTGTGTTGCAAAAGTTACATTAAAAGTCATTTTTAATGCATAATAATTGATTAGTTCAAAACTTGGAGATTAAGACCTAAAAATTTTAATTTTACTTTATTATATTATAATACTAATTTTTGATTGATGACACTTTAGATTACGGAGCATTAACTATTAACTAAGTTTTCCCCTCAATAAACTGCTTATTGATAGTAAGTTTGTCGTAGTAGTTATGTTTGAGTGTGGAGAAGGGTTAAGGGATCTAGAATATGGTCATGCAGAATAAGGCATTAATATGTGCTTTATAAGTACTAATAAACAGTCAATATGCTAGTAATATGCATGTTAATAAGCAACTAGTTAATAGTGAATGGTGTTTCCTAATCTAAAGTGTTACTGCTTGTTTATATACCACTTTTATTGTTTGAATGTTATCATTGACTTCTCATAACTTTATTTTATTTGAATATAGCTACAGGAGAAAAAAGGCACATACTGTAACTGAGTCCAGCTGTAATTTGTGGTCTTTCTTATTAAATAATATTTCTTCATGTCTTTCTATATTTTCAGCCAACAAAAGATGTCATCTTTATTGCCAGTCAAAAGAAACAGGTGACGTGGCTTACATGAAGCAGCTGATGCATGATGGGACAAGGTGCTCTTACAAAGACCCGTATAGCATCTGTGTGCGTGGAGATTGTGTGGTAAGCATTCAAATTTCATTATGCATTTCAGGTACTATTTCAGGGTTGTATGCTTCCTTTTTCATATATTATAACTGATGCTAAAAAAATAATTAACACAAATTAAAATGAACATGACTAGTATTTTTCTCATTAAGAACTCAATAATAGAATGGTGTGCAACAAAGTAGTAGCTCAGTCTCATAACCACCTGATTAAAACAAAAATATATTTGAAAGGTCTGCTGCCATGAACTTGAACTTAGGCTGAGGCTTACCTTCAAAATCATTATTATTCTCTTTAAAAATCTTTGCATAATTATTCAGTGTTCTACAACTGGAATGGCAACAAATACATAATTACAAGAGATTGTTTCACAAGAGAGTAAATACACATCAGCACATATTTATTTTTAAGTACATTGGCTGGCCATTTTCCCCACCAGCACAGAAATTATTTCCAGATTTTTCTGAATTCTGAATGTTGGTTTATCAGTGTCAATGTGTGTGGTTGCTATGGCTTTGCTTTGGGGAATTAATTTCTTGGGCAGATGCACTTAGTAAATGCTCCCAGGGCAAACAAAATATCTTCCCTGTTTACTGATAGGCTTCGTGTTGTGCCTAATTGTGCCGTAAAACACCAGCATGCAGTGTAGAAGGACATTACCTAGTCTGACATTAAAGTACACATCTGACTCACTTTACTCACAGACTTGTGTTCATTAAAATCCATGTAAGACCAATTTAGAACTTTTCACACACTTCTGAATAGGCAAAAATGCGTCTACACATATTTTAATTTTAATTGTAAGTGCAGGCAAATCTGTCCCACTGTACATCCTTGTTATTTTCTGTTATACATTTGTGAGTTGCCTCTGTGGATTGTCACTGAGCAACTGCATCTGACAAAGTACTGTGTACAGGATGAGTGCCACTTCACAATGAATGTTGTTTGAAGAATAGATCTCTCTGGATGGGGCTGATAGAAGTACATTGATTTTTGTAGATGGAATGGACGATGAATAGTGATTAGCTTTTGGGAGTAAATGATTGATAGTGTGTCAGCTAGTGTACCGATGCTTTAGGATTTATTTGCAGATATCTATCATCTTATTAAAAGTTTTGTTCAGCAAAGTGCTGCAGTGTGTCTCATATTTGTAAATGTCATTTTGTACTTTCAAAAAGAAAAGTAACTGTGTCTTGGTGACACTTTTTACGGATAATGCTTCAGTGGCCAAAATAGCAACATGGGAGATACTTCAAAACAGATGCAGACATATTCAAAGATGAAAGCTTGAAGTATTTTTGATGGGACCTCTTGCCTCTTTTCTCAGTGTGTCTTGCATATCCCCCCTCCCCCCTCTCCCTTTCTCCCTTTCCTTCAGAAAGTGGGCTGTGACAGGAAAATTGGCTCCAGTAAGGTGGAGGATAAGTGTGGTGTGTGTGGGGGTGACAACTCCCACTGCCGGACTGTGAAAGGAACCTTCACTCGTGTGCCCAAGAAAGCCGGTAAGATGCTTTCCTCTTTCCTGGTCCATCAGACAGTTCTTCATTCTATACTGCAGACCTGTCATTAAGGCCCAATCCCAATTCTATTTTATACCCCTTCCCCTACCCCTCCACCTACTCCTTCCCCTTGTCCCTTGAAACAGAGTGTCGGGTTAGGGGTGAAAATATTCCCCTAAGAATTAGGACACCACTACTATGCTGTCATACGTCATCATACGTCGTCTAGCTCCTACAATACACACACCTATACTGGTGTGCTGGTGTGTGCATTAGAGCCTTTAATTACCGTTCTATATTAATGCGCTGCTTACTGACACACACACACACACACACACACATATCAGAGATCGCACAGCTCACACATCCAGGAGCAAAGATACTTGTCAACGCTGCCCCACGACTTTTATTAATAACAGTTTAAATACTGAATCGCTACATTATATTTTCCAGCAACAAGAGGATAAAATCGCTGTTTTTGAAGACACCCCTACCCCTTCACGTGAACGCGCGAAACGGAGGGGGGAAGGGCTAAGGGGTAAAATTGGGATTGGGCCTAAGTTTCAGAGTCTTCTAGTTTCAGGACACTTCTGGAGTTCACTTTACTTTGGGGGAAATAATGAGCAAAGTGATCATTCTGAAATGTTTTGAGATTTGAGTTCACACATTTATTATTGATATACGATTTATTATATTAGATATGGAATCTCAGAAACTCCAGATGTCTTTAAGAGTTTTAAGGATGTGTGATTTATTAATAAGCATTATTATTTTAGTATTCAAGGAGATGTGAAAATTGCTTTAATTATTTGTTAGCACAAGTCTACTTTAAGCACTCATAGAGAACCTCTTTTGTTTTAAAGGGGTCATATGATGCAATTTCATTTTTTCCTTTCTCTTTGGAGTGTTACAAGCTCTTGGCGCATAAAGAAGATCCGTAAAGTTGCAAAGACTAAAGTCTCAAATCCAAAGAGATA